CCACCCCACAGTCCAAATTTTTGAGTCAATAAAAGGAGATTTTTCTGAGTGATCTTTATTTGTGACCCTAAAGCCATTGGTTTTTTTTTTTTTTTAGGGTATATCTGTTTTCTTGCTCGTTAGTGTTTTACCTATTATAAGATAGAAATTAAAGTATATTTCGCGCTCATTCAGCACCACCATATGGATGTTGCAAATGTTACCCCGAGCAACAATGTTGTTGACATTCTCTCAGCTCCTCGATTGAGTCGATATGAGAGTCAGAAACGTCGTGATTGGAACACGTTTTGTCAATACATAAGAAATCATCATCCTTTAATGTCACTTCTTCAATGCAGCAGCATTCATGTTCTGGAGTTTCTAAGGTACGTATACTGTTTGAATCATAATATTCAATTTTTTAACCAATAATTCTTGTAGAGAGTACTTTAGTTTAATTATATTAACATTTTAGATGTTTAATTAGCATTATTTTGTTATATAGCTTACTGTGTATCTTGTGATATAGGAGCATGTTTGAAAAAAAGTTACTCGTTTAAATCTATTTGTCTTACTTTTGTTTCAAAAAAGAATGACTCCTTCCTAGTTTGACAACTCTTTAATTTCAACATTTATTGTTTTAAGACCACAAGATTAAAGGATATTTTGGTACATTATATCTTTAGTTTAAGACCACAAATTCAAAAAAAAATTGTTACTTTCTTAAACCCCATCTAGAATCAAATTAAGACAGACGAATTAATATAAAATGAATATTTTTTTATAGCTAGGTTCTATTTTTCACAATTTGTTAGTCAAAATAAGGATTAAAACACATGAGCTTAATTTAAATTGTGGTATTAGTTAAGGATTTTTCTAGATTTTATGTTTACATGTAAGCCTATATATAAATAGCTACGGGTGTTCACTATATTATTTTTTTTATAATTAGGGACGAAGTTAGAATTTTTAAGCCGCGGTGCTCGACTGCATATTATCTAGATTTACTTTCTAAGATGGGGTACTTCTCATTTAATTTCTAAGATTGGGTGCTTATCAAAAAGTACCTTTGTATGTATGTTATTATATAGGTTTGGAGCTAGTAAAAACGAAGGGGTTCAATTGAATCATGTTATCAGAGAATTATACCTCTTTTTTTGTTTAGTCTAGATTTACTTCCTAAAATTGGGTGCTTATCATAAATGCCTTTGTTTGTCATTATATAGGGTTTGGAGCTAGTAAGAACGAAGGGGTTCAATTGAATCTTGTTATCAAAAAATTATACTTTTTTTTGTTTTATACATATATTGGTGTACCCCTTGAAACAATTATTGTGTAGTCAGGGACGAAGCTAGAAATTTTAAGTTAATGAGGTTCGATTGCATTTAATTTAGATTTACTTCCTAAGATTGAGTGTTTATCATAAATGCATTTGTATGTCATTATATAGTGTCCAGGGCTAGTAAGAATGAAGAGGTTCAATTGAGTACCGTTATCGAATAATTATAATTCTTTTTTGGTTATAGATCTATAAATTGTTGTACCCCTTGACATAAGGAACATTTAATGTATAGTGATATAAAGGAGTTCAAAAATTTGTTTTTGAACTCTTTTTTTTGAATAATTTAATATGAATTTCTGATTCCATTACTATCTATGACAATATTCTCTTATTCTAACAGGTACTTGGATCAGTTCGGAAAGACTAAAGTCCATAACCTAAATTGTCCATTTTTCGGGATGCTAAATCCTCCGGCACCCTGTGCTTGCCCTTTAAGGCAAGCATGGGGAAGCCTGGACGCCCTTATAGGGCGTCTTCGTGCTGCTTATGAAGAACATGGAGGAAATTCGGAAATGAACCCGTTTGGAGCTAAAGCAGTTAAGCTATTTTTACGCGATGTTCGTAATTTTCAGTCCAAGTCTAGAGGAATTAGCTATGACAAAAAAAGGAAAAAATCAAGAAGAAATCAGAAAAATATAATGGCAATGAAAGAAGTTGATCATCAGATTCATGATGATAAGAATGTAGGTGCAAATATTGTTATTGAGTAATTTTCTTGAGTTTAATTAAGCATTGGTACAATGTAAAATAAGAACATCATTATGCATATATTATTAACTTCTTTCCATTTTATTTGACTGTCGAAACAGTAATTAAACAAACAAATTAAAATGAAGGGAGCAACTATATATCGTGCTCTCACACTTGTTTGTTGTTGTTGTTGTTGTTGTTTCTTGAGTGATAATTGAGGTGGATATATATTATGATGATGTTATCATGTTATATACCTTTTTTCTTGTCAGTCACTTTTTTGTTACGTTTTATTTATGTAATGGTATTTGGCTAGACACGATGCTTAAGAAAAAGAATTGAAACTTTTGATCATCTGAAATGAATCTTATACGTTTTGTTTGTTTATAAATTATCTCATTAAAGATAAAAGAAGTAGTTTTTAAATGAATTTGTGTTTTGCGTTTTGTTCTTTATCAAGGGTCATATTAATTAGGTTTAATAATATGATTGTTCATATTTGCTGAGATGCACTAAACTTTTCTAACAGATATGTAATCAATACAATTAAGCTACTAATGGCAGAAATCACAATTTCTAATTTTGGAATGCATTATTTGCATAATTATGTCATGACTTATTAAATAATTATAGGTAAATATTAATGAAAACGTCTAAGTGGAAAGTGAAAGTCATAAAAAAATGACAGAATCTTGAAATCAATTCACTTGAGTAAGGTAGAGGAAATTGACACTTCATATGTAAGGGTGAAATCTGAAGATTTACGAAGGAACCTCAAAAGCGAAGACATATCTCATTCCCTCAAAAGTGAATATGTGATCATGTAATGTAAACAATGAAAGTTCACTTTCAATCTTCGTGAATGCAAAGATACACATTATCCTGGTGGAGCATGTGACAATTTAATTCGATATAAAGTCCAAAAGTTAGTAAATTTATTTGGTAAACTTGGTAATTGAACTATGTGCCTCATGATATTATTGGTATCAAGCCCACATAAAAGAAGGAAGATCAAGTTGGCTGATAATCAACATAAAACTTATCAATTCTAATAAATCTTTATTCTAACAATTAGGAGTGTTCGTGGTTCGGTTTGGATCAGTTATTGATTAAAATCAAAATCAAACCAATTTAGTCGGTTTTTTAAATTTCTAAAATCAAACCAAAAAAATAACCGTCGGTTCGGTTATTGCCGGTTTGGTTCAGTTTGGTTCAGTTTTCTAGTTTATTTGGTTTGAAAGTAATAGTAATTTTTTTGAGGACTTACGTTGATAGACACAACACCTAGCACATGAACAATCCACAAAAAAACTATTGTCGGTTCAATTGAGCAATACTAGAGTTATCATTACACGAACAAAGTGTTTCAATTAAGAGAAAATGTGACTATTTTATGTGAAGTAGGGTATAGGTAAAGACTAAAATTGATTTTGATGGACTTGGACTTATGATTATTATAGTTGGGCTAAAGTGTTTTATTAAGTTAAAGACTTAAGTTAATTGAAATTTAACAAAATATTTATATTTAATCATTTCTGAATAATATATAAATAATTATAAAATTTAGATATCTAATTTATCGGTTCAGTTTGATTATTTTTGCATTTTTTTTTAGTAAAATCAAAAGCAAACCAAATAATATCGATTTTCAAAATTCAAAACCAAACCTAACCAAATCCAACCAACTATCGACTTTTATAACCGGTTTGATTTGACTTGCAATTTAATTTGATGTTTTAACCATAACCATGAACAACCCTAATAGCAACTTATAACCTTCTATTACAAAAAATAATAGATTCACCAATAATATAACTCAAATCAATTTCAACTTGCCAATGTCTAAGCAGCTATATATCACATTAGTTGATTATTCTTATTAGTCTTTCCGTCCAACAATAGTTGTCCATTATATTATTTTGGAATGTCCAACAATATTTGTCCACTTTATGAAATCAATGGATAATTTTATACTTAGTTTCTAATTTACCATTAATTATAATCATTTTTCTATTATATTTTTCAAGACATTGTATTTATTATATTCAAAGAGTGATACAGTAAAATTACCCTTCTATTTATAGTTTCTTAAGAAGTACTGTGCAAGTCAATAGTTAACAAGTATTGTTGGATAGAAAAAATATTGCTCTTTTTAAAAAATATTATGTTATGTTTTTCCTATTATTTTCTAGTTCTTGTTATTTCTGTATGTATTTTTCTTTTAACCGGTCTGAAGTACATGTTACTCAAGCCGATAGTTTTTCAGAAACAACATTCTTACTTCTCGAAATAGAGATAAAATATGCGTACACTCTACATCTTCGAAAACCCTAAATTTGTCTCTTAAAAGAGTGGCACAATACACCAATCTCCCACAAATTTATCAACATCCAATGACATATATTCCTCAATATGTGGAACTAACATGACTCCTAATGGTGACACGTGTCCAACTGTGGGCCACCTATCCAAATTCTTCCCACATCATGTACCACTTGTCGGGTAACAACAAACGGCCTCCACTTTCGAGCCCAAAACAACGGTTGTGATCATGACACGTGGCAGTGTTAATGCATCTCATCCGTCGGATTATGTCCGTACAAACACTTGCATATTTCCATCTTTGGCTTTATCGCATGTTTGCTATTTAAGGGCACTTGATAATTACATGTTATAAATAAAAACAATTTATTAAGTTTAATTTATATTATTAATTATTTTTACTTCTTGATTTAGGGTTTCTATATTATTAGTTTGAATATTTTTAGGGTTTTGGGTGAAACAAAATGTTATGAATATTGGCATGGTTTGGTGTGGGGAGAATGTGGTCCTCACGTCTTTGGAATTTGCTCAATGAAAAAAAATATTATTAATTTTTAAAAAGAAGTGGCAAAGTATTAAAATAAAAATGCTAAAGTGCACCAGACACTAATTTTGATATTGTTATTCAATTTGTGTTAATTTTAACAAACGTGTAACTTCAGATATTGTGTAAAGTGTATATATATATATATATATATATATATTATTGAAGTTCAAGCAGAAATGACTAAAGTCTGTTTTATTTAAAAATTCAGGTAACAATGATTGAATTTCAACCATATAAAACATCAGAGACTGCATGTTGATTACCAGTGAAGAAATATTTACAAACACAAATACATATTAAATAATGGTGTCAAAATATGCTGCCCGAGAATTTTTCACAAATCTTAAGGATGTAATGTAACTCCACAACAACAACAACAACAAATCCAGTAAAGGTATAACTAGTGGGAGGATATATTATTATTTTATAAGAAAGACATTTTTTTATGTTTAATTATTGATACTCATTTACCATCAAAAATGAAAAATTAACTTCCTTCACTTATGTGTCAAAAAATTAATTTTCTTATATATATATTTTAAAATTACTTGCCCCAACTAACAACTTGACATTTTTTTACTCTTTTGTACTAAAATATTTCCATCAAAACATTACTATCCAATTTACAAATAGATCTTTCATATACTCCCTCCGTCCTATTTTATGTGGCACTTTTCGAATTACGAAATTCAAACAAATCTATCTTTGACTGTAAATTTTTTATAAATCTTTTAAACATTTTAAATTATCAATTATTGTGACTTATAGTACTTTTTACGTAGTTTACAAATATATAAATTTTATTTCAAAAAAATTGAAGATTTCATGCGCAAATTGTCAGTCAAATTTAACTATTTGACTCTTGAAAAAATAAAAAGTGTCACATAAATTGAGAGAGAGCATGTTTTTTTATCAAAAGTATTTCCTCAAGTTGGACTTATTTATAGGTTGCAAAGTTGTTGGGCCAAATCCTTGCTGAAATACTTAGCATACAATTTAGTATAAATTTTAGGAATCACATAGTTTTAAGATAAAATTACATCCTATCCCTATTTATTTTGTAATTATATTAATTCCTAAAAAGTTATACAATTCGGATAAATAATTGGGAGTTTGGATACATTAATAGTTATACGTTATATATTTTGTTGTTGCGCTTTAAATCGAAAACAAAATGGATAATTAAAAATAAAATCCCCTAATTCACGCTAATAAGTTTCATCCTTACTGTCAATCAGCGAAACTTTATTCCTAAAATAACAAATCAATTCATAATTCAAAAATTTTCAAATCCTATTCATCTTGGTCCCTGTTTCAACGAAGAAACTTTCGAGTGAGATTCAATTTTTTTGTTGTATATTTGATCAGTTAAATAATGAATATCTTAATTTTTTTGAGGCATTCAGGAGTAAGGGAGAGTGAGGTTATATATGAAAGAGACAGGAGTGATGTGGTAGTGATTGGTGAAAATATTTCCTTTATGAATCTAGTTTCAGCCATTGCAGCTAAGTTGAATATTGATGAATCTAGGAAAAAAATTCATAGACGATACATTGTAGAAGGAAAATTCTCTCCACTGATTATAAGGAATGATATGGGGGTAAAGTTGTACGTAGAGGTGAAGAAATGTGAGGTTGGATTTCGTATGTATTCCATCTGTGTTGATACAACTGATAAGGATGTTGGCGAGATAGAAAGTTTTGATGTGTCGACTGGTGCAATTGTCTATGTTGAAGGTGCTGAAGAGGACACACACGCACTCAACTTGGTGGAATAAAAAAATGGTGATTCATGTTACATATCAGAAATGGAGGTAACGAATTACATATCTGATACACATAGTACGGACGTGAAGGTGAATCAATTGTACAAGGATAAAACCACTCTAGTAGTTGTAATGGCAAAATTCAAAATAAAACATGAATTCAATTTTTGAGTTAAAAGATCTGATGACAAAAGACATGTAACTCATTTTTCAGTCATGAATTTGAATTTTGCTGAATCAATCATGATACATTACTGAATATAAGGGTGATACATTAAACGTTTTACGTATATATTTTGAGGTATCAGATATGTAAGTTACAGTATTGTTAGTATAAAGTATCAGACATATGTGACACTCCTCTTTTTTTATGTTTGAATTTATATATGTGTATTACAATCATAATACATTATTACATTCAACTTGATACGATTATGATTTGATGTATACTTAATCTTTAATGTGTTTTTGTATCTATGACTCAGTGTAATATTACTATAACGTATTAGATATATTTGAACTTCTTTTTTTATATGTTAATGTATCAATATTTGAATTTTATCATTAATGTATCATTGTATTTTGGTGAATCAATCATGATACATTACTGGCATTAAG